TTAGCTTTCATGGTCTTTCATTTGACTAGGGGTGCTAGGGAAGTGGTAGGGATATGAGGGATATTTCATTTTTTATTCTTATTTGTGCGAGTTTATGAACCTCGACGGCATCTCGGTGCATAAACGCGCAAATCAGGAACTTGGTCGACATGTGAATTTAACCCGTTGTTTGGGCCTTCTTTTATCCCCCGAGATAAATCCAGGAACTGGATTTATACCGGGGGATTTATCCATGATGAATCTCTTCCTCATATGGTTTTCTACAGAAATCTTGCTTCAATGCTTGAAATTGTGTATTAAAATCTGCAAACGACTTAAGAGTCACTTAACAGCAATTTCAAACTGACTCGTTGGGCTTTCGAGGGGCGTCAGAAATTTGAAGCCGTTCTGCGTGAACAGAAATCGTTCCCAAACCCGTCAGGTACACAGTAGCGATATAATAAATATCTTACTAACCTAGTTTTCTCGGTCCGTACTGTTAGTTACGGATCCTCGTTTTCCCCCTTCGATTTGTGGCCCGCTTGGGCCATAAATCGATGGGGAAAAAAACTCGGTCCGTAACTTACAGTACGGCCCTCGAACTCGGTTAGTAAGAGGTATTTATCACATGATCACTCACAGGATTAATTCTCACCTCTTTAAGACTGCTATCATTACTCACGATGAGAAGAGGTTAACAGTGAAACCATAATTATCGCTTATTCCAAATTACAAGAGAAGATAAATGGCAGACAACACTCGTGGCCTCACAATCAAAAACCAGAAGTTGGCATCAAGATCCTGCTTTGTGAGCGCGGCTTAAAATATCTTCACCTCTACGAGGTAACAAATCTGAAACAACACATTATCTCCTGTAATATTTTTTTCGGCTCAATACTATAACGGGTCCTCGAAATCTCCCGCTGTGGATCTTTTGAGAATGAACACCCCAAGAGGTACCAAACGCGTTTTTAACCCCTAAAAGGTACGACCAACACCCCCGTATTTTAGCGGAGCTCCGGCGGCCCAAACGGTCACCAAGCGGAGCCCCATAACTAGAGGAACAGAACCACATGCATAGACCCTTTGCATAAATGGCGCCCAAATTTGAATGACAATACTTCATACATTCTTAGCCTCGTCCTTATGTTTCCAGACAAAGGATTTTTCACATGGTTGTGAGGCTTAGGATGTATAAGTATTGTTCTTTAAATATCGCCGCCATTTATGCAAAGGGTCTATGCATAGAAATAGAAACCCATTGAACTCTTTTTTCATGGTCAATTTGGCTAGCGGTGTGGATCACGGGAGCGTGTGCCCAACGACGACGTCGAGTGGCGGCCATATTCCAACTTACAGGTCGACCGAGACATACAGCCTTGGTTTACTGCTTACATATTTGATATTGATCATCCAT